GAGCAAGCAGACACCAGCGCCGAGCTCGCTGGGCTGTCCGTAGAGACCAGTGAGGACGTGGACGGTTCCTTGACCGAGAGAGATGAGAGAGCGAAACGTGCGAATACGTGTCAGCTGTCAAAGCCTGCATTCCGACACGACACAGTGCAGAACACTCTGAGACCGGCACCGCTCCCCAGTCTCGATAGCAGTAGATACCATGTAGGAACACGACTCACGCTTCTGTGCCCCGCTGAACAAAGCCCGGTCCTCCTTGAGCCCAAAGTCGACGTCAATCAAGTTGGCACCAGCCAGGAGCTGCATAATCATTCCCGAAGTGATGATAGGTGTGATCCCAGCTCCATGAGGCGTTCCACGGTTGGAGGCCAGGATGACACGCATCCAGTACAACGGTCGGAGGAGTCAGACGACATGATACCGTACAACGGCACTTGCGAGCAAACCAAGAGATAAGAAGCGTCACAGCCGTCCATAGGATTTTTTGGGTTGAACGGGACCTTCAAGAGCGTGTCAGGTCGGCAAATGAGTGGATAGAAACTGACGTACCTTGCGGTCTGGAGAGGCAAACTTCAGGCAAAATCGGGAGGAAAGGCCGGACGAGGTTGAGGAACCGAACTGAAACCGAGCGTTGTAAGTAGAGTGTGGGACTGAGAGAACAGAGAACATACAGCCGCTCATCGTGGCGGAAGGAAGGGAGAGAAATTTGGAGTCTGAGAGTGAGCTGTGGATCAGACGTGGCAAGCCACTGACGCGTGATTTTGACAGCGGCTTCCATGATGCGGTCGCCGGTATCTCGCTTCAAGCTCGACTGCCTACTTGCAACCCTCAGGCCTCAACTTCAACCTCAGTTGAACTGTTCGGCTTATCCGATAACGATGAGTCTCAATATGCTTGCTGATTTTGCTGCCTCTGTTGATCTCGATGTCGGATCTATCTCCCCTCTACCTTCTGCTGAGGCCATCCTCCGCGCGGAACGATCCCTCCCATCCTCACTCCCTAGTCAGGGCTTGGGCTTAGATCTCATTAGGAAGCACCTGCTCGAAGATATTGCGCCTGCATTGAATAGGGAAAGCGTGAATCCCAATTACTATGGTTTGTCACTGGCGGAACGACAGACGCAGCTTTGTACGCCGACTGGCTTGTAAGCGCGTTCGATCAGAATGTGCAAACTTTCGCGCCGACAGAAAGCATCGCTGGGAATGTAGAAGATGCTGCTTTGAGGTGCTTTTCACCTCTAGGTCGATGATGAGTCTAGTTCCCACAGTCCCATAGAATGTTGCAGCAATTGCTTGATATCGATGCAAGTATCTTTACCGGACGGACTTTCACGTCCGGTGCCACGGCATCCAATACCCTTGGTCTCGCTCTCGGACGCGAATATTCTGTCCAGATCTCTGGGATGCGATTCTCAGCATCGGCAACTCAAGCCAGTATTGCCCAACAGGGCCTGATCCCAGCTTGCTTGCGCGCGGGGGTCCAGCGAATCCGAGTGCTTTCCTCAATGCCGCATTCTTCATTGGCTAAGGCGGCATCCATCGTCGGCCTGGGCACTGACAATGTCATCTTGTTACCGCTGAGTGAGGCAGAGCCTTGGCGGCTTGACCTGAATGCCTTGGAGCAGCATCTATCCAAACGGGGAATCGCAAGCATCATATCTGTCAGTGCAGGAGAGGTTAACGCCGGAGCTTTTGCGACGACAAGAGATGATATGGAAAAAATCCGTGCTCTGGCAGATGAATACGGGGCTTGGGTTCATGTTGATGCTGGTTTGTGCTATACGATAATGTTGCGTCTGCTTACTGCCTCTAGCCTTCGGTTTACAAGCTCGGCTTCTATCCAAGCCGCAGTATGCCTCTATCATGGCTGGAGTGGCTGCGCTTGATCTCGCGGACTCGATCACAGGAGATGCTCACAAACTGCTCAATGTCCCATACGACTGCGGCTTCTTTTTCACCCGTCATCTCGGAATTCAGAAACAGGTGTTCCAGAACGGATCTGCCCTACCACCCGATCTCTCGGAGGCTGTACCCTCCGCTCACAACCTCGGCATCGAGAACAGCCGACGATTGCGCGCGCTGCCAGTGTACGCTACACTCGTGGCCTACGGCCGAGACTGGTATCGTGACCTGCTGGAGCGCCAAATCTCGCTTGCACGAAAAGTAGCGGAATACATTTCGCAATCGAGCGACTACGAGCTGTTGCCCCGCCACACGTCGGCCGCAAACATATATATTATCGTCTTGTTCCGTGCGCGGGCATCTGACCTGAACTCACATCTAGTTCAGCGGTTGAACTCAGCCGGCACGATCTATGTAACGGGAACACAATGGGAGAATCGGCCTGCGACACGAATTGCCATCAGCACGTGGCGCGTTGATCTGGACAGAGATTCTGCACTTATCATCAAAGAGCTAGAGGCGATCGTTCGGCCCAAGTATTCAGTGTGATGTTATTTATTTGAAACGTCACAATTCAGATATACATGCCAGATTCGGAGTCAGTAGGGCGTCTTCGTTTCGCACTGGGCTTTACGGCTCCCGGCGCATTCCATGGTTGGCAGTCCACGTCCAACGAGCGGAAGAGTAATTCATGAGCTCTGGACACAAGAATAGGGTTCCATGGGTCTCCATCTTCATCCCAATGCGAGAAATGGCTCTCGATTAGATCGCGAGGAGGGGCCAACTGGACATGTGGAGCTGGGACTAGCAAAAGGGTTGCAGACAACCCTCGCTGGGCTTGTTGCGCGACAAAGGAGGCCGAAGTTGACTGGACAAGGTTTGGGGGCGAGAACAAATCAGCTGCAGAAATCTGGGTGGGCCAAAGTCGGACGAAGCTCGTGAACTAGGTACGGAAGACTCACCATCCATTCAGCAGCAGTTTCCGTGCAGAGGTAGCGCAAATTTGCATCGGGATACGCGAGACGCTTCTGCGATACATACGTAGGTTCAACATAAATATCCAGCAAGGCCAATTTTCGGGGTTGTAGTTGGTCCAGTATGGAGGCAGCATACTGATTCATCGCCCATATGGGCAGTTGAGTCGTGACCTCCGAGACCAGGACAGTGGTCCGCGTCCAGCTTGGCCGAAAGAGGAGACCAACCTTGATGAGCGTTAGATATACATTGATATCAGAACATGAAGCTTGACTTGAATCCCGTTCACCATGACTGCTCCAACTTGTTCCCGGAGATCCGCTGCGCGGGCCCAATACTTCGCCAGAGTTCCCTGTGCGATAACGAGCCCATCGGAAAGCCTCTCAGAGACACCGAGTATCTGGATTTCGATCTTCCTGGGATGCGACTTCGTGTGTTGCAAAGGGTTGTATTCGTCTTCCTCTTCATCAGACTCGATAACATGACGAGGCGGACCAGCATCGGCGAGGGGATCAATATCCTATTCGATGCAGATCTTTATAGATGAACAGCATAATGAAACTGGATCAGCTTGCCATTTGAAAGAACGAACGAGTGAGATCTCGAACCTCGAAAGGCCGCGCGTAAGGTGACAGTCACGCGCATTACAATGTCACGCGACGCGAATTGACGCGCATGTCACGAGACTAGCGACAAACTTTTCTCCAGGCCGTTCTTCACTGTAAAGGACGTCCTCTAGGGCTCTATCAAAGCACATACGTAGCTTGCAGTTCGACTGCATGCTTCTCCATCTTCACGAGTGCAAGTGTCCTTTCCGCGTTCGAAATGTGCTATTCCACTCGTCGGCCGTGAATCTGGTACGACGAGACACAGGCTCAACAGGTGTTTGACATGTCTATTAAGTTTGCCTATATTGAAACGGCGACTCTGTAGCTCAAAGACGGCCTCAACGTCCGGCATTTACACGAGATTCAAGGCCGGATTCATTCCAAAGCCAAGGACAACAACTGGAGTACGACGCACGGTCACCCATACGACAATATCCTCGCCCATGGACTGGACGCGATCAGAGCAGACAGGGAAAGTGGGATAATGAAATGGGTAGCTCTCATGCGCCTGGACGCGGGAGCTATTCGCGCACGTATGGTGGGGAGAGCAGCCGACAACGCTGGTCTTCGCCGCCGTTCAGACAGCGTTCCGACGAGGAATGGGATGAAGACCTTCACCGTGACCCAATCCCGACATTGAAGAATCGAAACGCACCCATGATCATCCCGTCCGATGCTGCTGCGCCTAGACCGTCGCATCCTCGTCGCACGACTTCCAGGCGTGAACCGGACGAGCCCCCAGCTTTCTACAATCCTCCTGAATATCTCTCGCATGCCGGCGTTCCCATCATTGTCAAAGCGGACTCCAAAACGGGTTCGAAGTCGTATAGCGACGCCATGTCGGAGAAGCATGACGTTCCCAGACGCTTTACTTCGCCACCTTTGCTCCCTGGTCTGCATCAATGTCTAAATGATGTCCTTGGCGGTGGTAATCTACCCCCAACTCCGATCCAGGCCCTCAGCTTGAAATGGGTACTCCAACCCTGGACGCCACCCTTGGAGTCGTCTGACTCTCTGGTGCCGGCGACAGATAGCGCGGCTCACGAATACTCGGAATATCTCCTTGCCTCTGAAACAGGGTCTGGCAAAACCTTTGCCTATCTTCTTCCCCTGCTGCAGTCTCTCAAGCTTAGTGAGCCTGTATATAGCGCCCGCATGTCCAGCCTGAAGACAGTCCCGTCGGGTCCTCGAGCGCTTGTTTTAGCGCCGACACACGAACTCGCTCGCCAGCTCAGCAGCGCCGCCAAGTCACTTGTTCACGATATCAAACTCCGAGTGAAATGCGTTTCCCGGGCGAACATCGATGGAGCGAGTATTGCCAAGACGAACAGCGCTAGCCGGATGAAAGCCGAGCTTCTCGCTGCCTCGGCGCAGGCCGACTCTCAATTCTCAGTGCTCAAAAAAGAATTGTCTACATCTGCGCCTGCAGACGTCTTGGTCGGAACTCCCATGAAAATCATGGAGATGGTATTCGGTCGAGGATGGGACCGTGAGGTTCAACTGGGGGGCGGCGCTTCGGAATCGGACACAAAGCCTGGCGAAAGAGGTCCCAGGCTTCGCCGCGGCAGGGATAACGTACCTGGCTTTGGACAGTGGAAGTCTCGCCCAGAACTCGACCTCTCCCAAATCGAGTGGGTTGTCGTTGACGAGGCGGATGTGCTATTTGGTCTGCTGCGTTATTATGGATCGCCTATTCTGTGCTGAATATCTCTAGACTCCGACTTTCAGGAAACGACCCGGATGTTGCTGGCTGAGATCTCCAAGGCTCGCGGTCAAGAAGTTGCCTTTACGCCACTTCCCATCGACTTGCTCGCGACGTCCAAGGCGGTCCCTCACGCCAGCAAAGCCCTTGCGACAAAAGCCAAGTCTCCAGCAGCGAATCCGTTGAATTACCCGTTCAACTTCCTTCTCACCTCGGCCACGATTCCTGCTGGGCTCTCGACGTATCTCAGCACATATCATCCCCGCATGCAAAGACTGATCTCTCCAAATCTCCACATGCTTCCGAAATCGCTCCAGATTGAGCATGTTCCTTGGACGGGAGGAAACAAACTATCTGACATTGAGCGACGCCTTCGGCAAGTATGGGCCGACGATGCGGGCCAGGGGCGGGGGCCTGCACCTGGTAGCACTGGCGACATGAGCAAAGTGCTCGTGTTCTGTAACCGAAACACCAAGGTCGAGGCGCTGGGGACTTTCCTCGAAGAAAAGGGTATCAAGACGATCACTCTGTCTAGCTCTAGCGAAAACCGATCGCGGGGCAGTAACAAGCACCTCTTGGGATTCTTGAAGCCTGAAGCCCAGAAACGGGCCGTTCCAGCTGATGAGACCGAACTCGAGACGAAAGCGATTGCCAAGGTGACTCCGGTTCTCAACGACCCGATGAACGTGCCACATGTGATGATAACGACATCGTTGCTCTCCCGCGGCCTTGATTTTTCGCCTCTTATCGAGCATGTCTTCATCGTCGAAAGTCCGAGAAACATGATCGACTTTCTGCATCGGGCTGGGAGGACCGGCCGAGCCGGATCCCGGGGCACCGTCGTTGTCTTTGGGAAATCAAAAGGACGAGGCAGTCAACAGACGAGAGATCTCAAGACGCGACTCAGGGCTATTCGAGCGTAGTATATACAGTAATGTACATGAATAATAGTTAATAACACCTACGTCGCAGCCAGGGGAGGATTAATATAAATATTGACAAACAAGATGAATAAGAAAGAAAACCCTCTGCGTCGGATAGTTAGCATTGGTCAATAATAGGATATGCGGTGCACTGACAGAGCCATGGCAACACCACCCGCCCAGGCCACTTTCATGGTCGAGATGTCCGACGCGACCAAGTCGATCACATCGTATGCCCTCTTGTATCCAAAATGAAGCACGCTGCTGTTGCAGTAACACCGGTCGAAGAACGAACTAAATTGGAAGATGCAGGCCACGACGATCCATATCGCATTGCAGGCGGCAAGTACTTTGCCGACTCGGCGAAGCACGATGGAAAGTGTGGCAGCAATCCGGGACGCTCGTGAGTAGATGGGGAAGCCGCCGTCGTCAAAGCGGCTGGGTCTTTGGGCCGAATAATGCGCCAGAAAGCTGGAAAGAACGAGCAGAATCCAGATCAGCGTGGAGAACGCGCCGTACAGAAGATAGGCGCCCGATCGACATCCCAGACCTCGCGTTGGGGTGAACCAAACAACAATCACAGCAGCACCAGTCGTACTCCAGGTCAGACCGAGAGCCATCAGAGATGCAACGAAGAAGCGAGAAAAGACACCAGGTGCCCAATGGCTCCTGGCGCTGGTGGGCAGCGGCACAGCATAGTCTGTGACCTGTTGCAGCGTCCCCTCTCGATTGACTGGAGAGATTGTGGCGGAAGTTCCTCTCTCTGCATTCTTAGTCCACGGCACATTAGGGTCGACCGACTGATGCAGAGCGCTGCGGGCCGTCGCTGTCTCGAAGATGGCGTACACCGTTTCGACCGAGTGTGTCCAAGCTAACCAACGAGAGTAGTTCATGATAGGCGGGCTACACATCTGCACGCTGCTCAGACATCGGTTGTCTCACAAAGTGGAGAAATGACGGTACCTCGTCTCGTCGAACAGAGCCCATTCGCGGTGCCAGAGAAAGTGCGCGATCAGGAGTGATGTCCTCAGCCAGAACGGCTCGTCCTTGATCGGAGGCAAGATATGCCTCAGCATTAGCTCGATTCACAGCGCCCCTGAGACGAACAGAATTGCATTTTGGGCCTAGCTGGAGCCAGCCTGTGCAAGGAGGATTCAGTTTCCGAGAAGAACCGACAAAGCAGCGAAAAGGCCACCTATCACAACTGGCAGGAGCCATAAATATGCAGATCCGACGCCTTGTCCGTTAGCATTGAGAGTCGAGGACACAATCGTGCCTAAGTGGGGGGTCAGAGATCGATCGCTGCAAACCAGCTGGGCGTGCTCACCCGTGAACGAGTCGATCACCGTAAAGACATATGCGATGGAAACCCAGATGATAGAGGCCACAGACGAGATGCTCCACGTGTGAGTGTACTCCAGCAATTCAACAAGCTCGGCCCACCACCGGTCGTTCTGTGGCAGAATCACGAGCGACGCGAGCAGCCCATAATCCTCGGTCACAAGCAATGGGGACTGTTGCAGGCGACTCAGCACCTGCACAGCCTGCTTGGCATTCGGATACTTCTCCACAGACGAAAAGCGCCGGGCTATCCAGTGTCCATTGAGTACGGTCAACGCAAGAGAATATGCGGCCAAGGTTGGTGATCCGACCGACAGCACAACACTCATGACGTTGTCAAAGTTGTCCGTGGCCCCGAAGGGCAGCTGGGCCACGAGAGCCAGATAGGGCAGGAGCCATGCGCTGAATTGCTGCGAGAAGGTGTTCCACTGGAACGGTTCCGGGCCTGCTCCACATGCAACCGCGCACAGCTCGTAGGTGATAGACTTGGCCTCCGAGATATTGGCTATAGGGTTCCCAGCGTTGTCTGTGCCTCCCGTAAGGCCCCAATCCCCGCGTTTGATTTCCGCGAGGCATGTATCGAAGTCGGCCGCATGAACGGCACCAATGAGACAAAAGAAGAGAATAAGACGCTGCGTTTTCAGTGCATAGACATTCGTCTTCATCTGGGAAGGTGGAGGAGAGAGTCAAGATGTGAAGCTGTCCTGAAGATGTGAAGCTGTCCTGAAAGCTGTACATCAGCCATCAGGATTGTTATCGCAATGAGTTGCTAAAGTCAATTGCCAGACACAGCCGTTCGGCAGACCAAAGACATGATATTGTAGCTGCAACTGTGGGAACGTTCAACTCAGGATGGGAGTGCGTCATGTGCCGATCCGGCTACTACCACCAACGATCTTGTAATCAGATAAACAGGCTGCTTGATCTAGACCCTCCATCCGGCGATATAGTAAACACATCATGCAGGTGGCATTCCACCCGCAGCATGAAATCTCATTGAAGAGCTCGTGCTCTCCCTGGATAATCGAAAAGAATTGTCGACCATGAATGCAATGTGTAGGCAAGAACAATGTGAGCAGGTACGTCGTAGTTACTCGAGAACGGAATACTTGAGAACGGTGAGAAATATCGATGTTTGGAGAAGGGCGAGAACTTGCCTCGAACGCAGTGTTAGGCCTGGGACTAGAACGTTTCCTCTTCTTCAGGAACTGCTTCCTGATCCGGAACCTCGAATCCGTCCTGCGTGAGTCGAGTCAGCCTCTGGAGCTTCCGGACGAATAAAGTACGAGCGATCACAACGATCGCAGCACGGGAGAGCGTACCTCGGTACTGTACAAGATCTTTTGAATCTCACGCGACGTTGGGTCCTCGGGTATGCCAGCAGCCTCGTCAGCCTCCATCTTTTGTTGTACAAGGATCTCGATTTCGCGGAGCTGTTCAAATGACTACATCAGGACACGAAAATGTCAAGTGCAAATCCGGGATACACACCTTCTCAAAGTAGAAATCACGCTCCTTCTCTAATCCCTCGAGATGTTGCGTAAGTTCCCGGACTTGTGTGTTGAGAGCAGCAACAGCCGCATCGCTCGGTGTACCGGACCTGTGGCCGCTGACGGGTGTGCGGCCGCCCGCCCGTGCCGGAGCGTGAGATGCCGCGAGCCCGCCCGATCCACCAGTCCTCGCGGGTGCAAGCGTGGCTGGTGGATCTGCTGCCACACCCTTGCGTCGTCCCACAGCATCGTATTCTCCACCAGCATAGTTGGCCTCCCAAAATCGCTTGAGCCATTGCAGGAACTCGAGGTTGTCCCTGCCACTCGTCATATCGCTGTTCATTTCGACAGCAGAGAAGGCGATACGCACTGCATCTTACACTTGACCAGGCGCTCTACAGGGATCGGTTTGTCGATCTTGTGCGACTTGAAGACATTCTGCATAATCTTGAAATTGGCGAGGTATTCATATTCATGCTTCGCGTTCATCTTCACTCGAGCCATGGGGACATCGAGGTAGATGCTGTCAAGAACCTGGAGGTACGCTCCGCCGGCGCCACATTGTTCGACTTTCGTATAATTGAGCTGGAGTAGCTCATTGAGCCATTGCAGTAGTTCTGTCCGCGACGCGCCTGCCATGATGGCGAAAAGTAAGTGACACGGTCACAACCATCCGCGTTGTGTTATGTTTGTGTTCAATGGAAATGCAGGCGTGCTTTCAAAAGGAGATTTATGGTAGTGGATACAAATGAGAAACGTGAAGGACATGGGTCGTGATATCATAAATTAATCGTGTCCGAGTCTTGAGCTGTTACATGATCACGCAGCCTGGCCCTCCCTCAGGGCACAGAGTATCTGCCCATCCCAGCTCTGAAGCAACGTTGACAGCTCCCCCACGACGCCGGATGGTGATCGTGTATGTCTCATCTGCTTGGCCATCGGAAGGAACAGGGTACCACCAGCGCAGTATCTGATCTTTCACAGCCCAACGACCCCCACTGACGGAAACGTCCAGGTCAACCAATGGCCGACCAGCAGCCTCTTTGATGGTCATGTCCTTGGCGCTGAATATGACAGTGCCTGCACTGCTGGTGCTGGCTGTCATCGTTTCCGATGGGAGGACTGGGACTCGCTCCATTTCCTCTGGGCTCATACCTGCGTCCGTCTTCTCGCTGGTCGAACGCTCGTGAGCAAGGGACTGGGTTGGCTCTGCGATACTCGCACTGTCGACGCTGTCTGTAAATGCACTGGGGTCAAGCAGTGCAGGATGCGGGTAGTGGACAAGGGGGACGAAGATTTCCGTGGCCAGCTCGTCATCCGGCAAGGTGTCGTTTGACCCAACACTCACGACCACTTTGAGCTCGGAGCTTGCGATATCGAATGACATGTCCTTGATTACACCGACGACTTTGACAGGCCGAGGACGGCAGAAAGCACGCACTGCCCGAGCTCCAGCTGTTAGAAACTCGTACGAGGACACGCCAGGCCGCCAACCGGCACCCTCCGGCCCGCCGACGAGTTTCGTGGCGTGCATCGAAGTCAGGGAAACGGATGAGGTTGCCGCAGTGCGCACAGTTTCTGTGGCTGAGCCGGTCTTCTTGCGCATGATCAAAGGAGCTTCGCTTCCGTACCCTCCACCAAGGGTGGCAGCACTGCCGGCACCCATCCCATACACGCTGTTGGCACGCTTCACCGAGTCCGGAAGATCATCAAATGACCAGACACTGAGATCCTCCATGTTCCAACCATCGCCCCATTCATGGACCGAATCGGGACAGTACGACCACATTGTCCAGTTCAAGCTGTTGACCCCGTCGGCGCCGTTCAGACTCGCATCGAGAGCCTTCTCTTGCTGAGAGTAGTCGCCAATGCCCCTTCCCTTGCTGTCTCCGTAATAAGCCCGTTTCCCGTCCATATCCATCGGGGTTCCGATCTCGCCTAAAACAGTCGGATACGGGCCAACAAGCTGCGAGTCTGCCTTGAGGATGCCAAGCTGCTCACGCAACGAGTTTCTGATGGCAGCCGAGCCGATCTTGACTGCCTGGAGCGTTGAGCTGTACTTCCCCCGCAAAAGGCCGAGTGCGTCAGCATTGAACCAATTCCAGTGTCGCGTGATCAGCGTCAGTCCATCATAGTAATGTGGTGCATAAGCACAACGGCCTTTCAGAAGACTGGCATCGACGGAAGGCGGCTGGGCGAAGACCGGAGGTTGCACGAACAAAATAGCCTCCGGCTGCGAGTTGCGAATTCGCTCCCCAAATTTGAGGAAATGCGGTTTCCAGTAGTCTTCGAGAAACTCGACAGGAGAGTCCTCACCGGGAAGAGATAAAAAGTATTGCGGAAGCATCAGAAAGCCAGTCTCCACGTCCCATACACCATGCAATGCCCAGATGCAGATGCCCAGTGGCCAACTTGGACTACGTCTCCAGCCCCATATGGGATGCCGTCCATCGGGCTCGTCGCCTGGATCTGCCCAAACGCTCCGGCCTTTGGGATCGATAGTTACATTGCCGTCACGCGACGGGCCGAATGTCCCAAAAATCCAGTGTTCGGTTGTCTGTGCTTGGCCCATTCCGAGTCTGAAGCTTTGGATAGGCGTCGGGTACGATCCTTTCTTCAGTGTGGAGCCTTGCGCAGGCGGATTCAAATTCAGATCCTTCCACCCACAAAGGCCTTCGGCAGGCTCGTTCATGCTGTCCCATCCAATCACACAATCCTCAACAAGGTCACCGGCGAGCGCTATTCGATCTGCTAACAGACCCATTGCGGCGATGTAGTGTGACTGGAGATAATCCTGGATGTTTTGTCCGTCGATGATGCATTTGGGAGCAAAGTCACGACCAGCGAAGAAAAGCGTAAACAGTGTTTGGGAGAGGAGACGACCATAGTTGGTGGACCAGATCATGGCTGGTAGAGATGCGGGATCAGGAGCGAGAGCTTGAGGATATTCACAATGTATAATGGCAGCCTGGGTAGCGGTGATATTGCGAGGGTTTATGCCACATGCAGCGAGCGTCCAGAATGGGGCACCAGAGCCCCCAGAGAAGCGGGACCACTGATAATATGAATAATCATTTGGCTTCAAAAGCTCGGCGACTCACGGTGTCCTGGTGAGGATCCATGTACACGCGGAACCCGTACTCTTTGCATTTCCGGAGGACGCGCACCGTGTAGTCCATGAATTCAAAGTCATACTTGCCAGGGCCTTCATGCTCTAATGCCTCCCATGTGACAGGGAACCGCAGAAGATTGAATCCCCAGCCTTGGAGTCGGGCCAAGTGCACGTCCGCCGAACCATCGTCCAGATTGAGAGGCCGACCCACGAAAGACATTCCGCCTGCTTCCGCAGTGTCCCAAAAACCTTCTCCGCTGTAAGAAGGGCTACCTACAGGCGCCTTCGAGGAACCTGAGAGGTTGATCCCACGAAGTAGTAATGTGCGCCCAGCATTATCGACAAAATTGCAGTCTATCGTATGGATAAACGACGGTGTTGTCGGTTGACCTGTCGCTGGAGATACGGATGGGACGGTGGGCATAAGGGCGGAAAGAGCCGACCGTTGAGCTTCAGGAGCTGGAGGAACGAGAACGGATTATTAATTATCCAATCGTCATCTCCTTGTCGTTCCACACAGGCGTGGGATTACTGGCTTCGGACTTATGATCCGTGTCCACTGACAGCACTTACCACTGGCAGCATTTCAGACTTGGAGGGTCAGCTCTCACTACGACATGGTCTCCTTTATCGTCGCTGACCTTGTTTTGACTCAGGCTTGACCTTTCCACGATTTTGCATGCTGAAAAGCAACGTCCGACTTCAAAAGCTGCCCAAGTTAGCCCGGTACAACGTGAGGTCTCCAACCGATGACGGACCTGCCCATATCCCTCTCGACGACGTTTTCAGAGATGAAGCCCCTGCCACGATTTATGTCGGGAAGAATGGGCCCGTCCCTTCATCACATGCGAAATCCCATCTGAGTCGCGCTACGCGTCTTGGCCACCCGTCCTCTCGTCTGGCTTTACACAAGCTCGTGCACGCATCTCTACGCGCCAGCAAGCATCAAGAAGCTGCACATCTTATTCTCAACGACAATCGCGGTCCTTTATTTGTCAGCCAGTCCCATCGCATTCATCCCACCACGCTCGCAAAAGTCATGCATGAGCTGATCGCTTCTGTCCCTCGTCGACAAACACCGCAACAGTGGTATCGAACACAGGTCAATCCGAGTATCTTGCAGTTCAGCGCAGAAATGGTTTCCCATCCGGATCTTCGTCTCGCGTCAGCTCTCCATCTGTATGCAAGAGATAGATTGGTACCTCGAAGCCCGTTAGTGTCCAAACTTCTTTGGCAAGCTCTGTTGAATCAACGGGACTGGATTGCGGCGGCACATATGTTCGGATTACAGGTCCGGGATTATCATGCTCGCAGAACTCTTCCGACGGTGCTGCGCAATGCAGAGAAGGCCGGGCTGTCATCTCATGTTGTCAGTGGGCTTCGTCGAAAACTCGCGGTTTTGAACGCCGAGGATGCCTCCGTCAGTCGGCCATTCTTTGGTCAGCTCTGCTACCGGCTCAGTGGTGTTTTATTCCACATCAACGGCCGACTCAGGTCTAGCAGTGCCACTGCAAACTCTGAGAAAGTGGTGCCAACGGATACTGGAATAAAGGCCTTGACTCCAGCTAGGGCCAAGCATCATCAGCGAATGGTGCTGCAGGCGCTCGTCATCCTGAGCACCATGGTCGATCAGCGGCAGGTTCCATTCGCTGATGTCAGTGCATGGATAAACGCAGCCGGCATGGTGGGCATCACAAGTCTCCTTTTCGCCGCTTACGCTGATCCGTGCCAGATACCGTTATCTGCATCTGCCGATATGTGTTTTCATGTGAACCCACAAAACGCCCGGGCCACTCCTGTCAGCGCCCGAGCGTATATGCGTCAAGTATTAGAAAATTATGCCTCAAACTTGCCTCGAACGCCTCATTTATGCAGTCAAGTTCTACCATCTCGTGCAGGCTCTGTCTGGCGAGGACTTCATCATCAACTGGAGACTAGTTCTAAACAACGCATGCCGCCCCAAGACCCCAACGATGCTTCCGACGATACGTTCATGGCTCCTCCTAATCTGCCCACTTACGAGGCTCTTCTCAGAGTGTTCCTCCACAGAGGAGAGGAACGAGGACTATACGAAGAATCCGCTCATGATATTGAATCTGTCCAGGATTCAGAAAGTTCCGAGGATTGGCACTACCATGCTCCCCGCTCCCCCAACAACTCCGACCCTCTCAACCAATATCCCGAACACCTGCTTGACTTCGACGCTTATCCTACAAGACCGGCGGGGCAAGAGCTTTCCTCGAAAAATTCTCACACTGTGCAACGACAGGGCGATCTTGCTGCAGCCGTCCTCCAGCACATGATATTCGAACGCAGCCCACAGCTTGCACCCTGGCAATCGGACAATATCAGGGACTTGCTTCGGTGGAGGTCAAGGGATCTCGAGAATGGACTGATAGGTCAAGATCTATTACAGGCTTACAGAGATGGCGCTGCCGACTTTGACCGTCGCAAAGCAGTCATGTCGGCTGCTGCACAGGGAGCAATGTACGATGTGGATGACTCATACGGAGATTAATAACAAACAGCACCGTTGTGTCCGATTCAAAACAGGCAGGACAGGCAGGTGAAGGGAACCAGAATGGCTGTCAGGTGACATGGGCATGAGGATTCATGTGGTACATAGCAGTGGAGAACAAGGAAGTATGAATTCATGCAATCAAAGACACGACACCACCAGCCTCCTTGATTTTGCGCCTGAAATTGATTGAGAAATACTGCGCAGAGTGTAAAGAAGGGCACCCACTCGGCGATTGCAGAGACGAAGCGTGCCTTCACAATGAAAGGCAGTTTTGGCAGCCTGAGCACACATTCAGACATGATCCAGGCCATTTGAGTCGAGTTTACGCACAATCCATTGCCAAGAACCTTTCCATAGCCAAAGCGAAGTGTGTCGATAACAGGAACGACATCAGAGTCGGCAGTGAGACCCTTCTTTTCCTCCTCCGGCACTAACGACCACAATTTGTCCACATTGATGATCGGCCTCCACGTTGCGTTGCGAGTAAGGTGGTAGTGACGCATACCAACCTTACCGAAGTAACCAGGGTGGTACTTGTCGAAGTTTGTACGGTGGTGGTGCTGACCACCGGCAAGACCACGACCTCCGGGGTGCTTCCTGTGCTTTCCAACACGACCGTGTCCGGCAGAGACGTGACCGCGGTGCTTGCGGGTCTTGGAGAGATGGGTCGGCATGTCTGAGAAGTTGGTTCAACGAAACGTCGATTGGCGAGAACGCTGCTCACCTTGAGGAGGAGGACGAAAAGTTGGTTCACGTGTAAACTACATAGCCAGTGATTGTACGACGTGATTGGGGATCCTCACGTGTTTGATCAACATGATAAGATAAGATTCTTTAACCAAGCCGCTGAAACAGGCTGCAACGTTTCTTCACATGCACCCTGTCCCAATAATTTCAGTTTTCGAGGTCCAATTCAGGAAAGAGTACATGCGAATTGAGGGCCACTCAATTGGCAAGCGATTGGAGCCAGGGGCCCAGGACTGAGGCATGCAGCACCAACTGGTTGAACTGCGCGCTTCGGACTCGGAACACAGTCCGCTAAGCTGACCAGTGTATGCAATAATAGTGTACAATGTGCGGTGTACGAAGTACAGAGTATGCTGTGCAGCAGTCCTGGTCTCATACTCAGACCTAACCAGGATCCCCGTTCAATCAACGTCGATTATCTCTCTCGAGCTGCTGCTCGCTACCGCTGTGCTCCGAGGTTGCGAAGCCACAGAGGGCCGCGGCTTCTTAGCTCGTCTTGAGCCAGAAGGTCCTGCTGTGACTTCAGACGCGCCAGTAACTCTGACGTCGTCGTCGTCGTCGTCGTCGTCGTCCAACACCAAAATCTCGTTAGACCCAGCTGACTGTCTACTCTGTGGTGGATCCCGTTTCCGTTTCCTTCGCGATTCGGCAGCACGAGGCTCTTGGGCATCCTCGTCGTCTGAGACGTCAATCAATATAGGCCGATGGCGGGTGCTCGACTCAGCTCGCGCTGGGGGAGCGACGGTAGGAGGGCGTTGCTGAGAATCGGAACCAGAGGCGACTGCTGGAGGAGGCTTCGCTGCACGTGCGTACGCATCGGTCCACTGTCGTGCCGTCTGATCGTGTAATTTCCTGTTGCGCATATACTGGTTGGCGATGCTTGGAACTGAATTAGGGTGTGAGCTACAATAAGCACGAGTAAAGTTCGGACATATTCACACCTAGTGGGTCTTCTGTGGAGCAAGTTAGCTCAAGGCGATGCCGGTAAGAGAGACGAAATGAGCGCACTCGGATTTGGGTCGGTAAGGAGAGAAGACAGCGACAAGATGACTTTGAAAAGAGACAACGCGGGAGACCAGTTATGTTTGAGGATGTCAAGGCATATATTGCCTTGCTCGCTGATCTGTGATAGACATGTCAGTGCTCTCTCTCTCGCTTCCTCTCATACAAACAGTTTCTGACGCCACGCACATTCATGTGGTATATCCTTGAAATCCGAGCCCGTCAGCACTGATGAGACCTGGTGTAGCCTTGGACACACCGAGTCAAAAACGTCACTTTGGGAGCTCCAAAAGGATAATCTCTTGGGAGTTGCATATTGAACCGAAACACCCCGCTCTCATAGACGCTGCCTTCCGGGCCCGGTAAGGACCCGCTCCATACGAATAGGTCGTCTGACGGTGCCAGTGTGATGGCACCCAGATCAGCTTGTTCCTTTCGAAGGTCAGAAATTTCTTTCTGAATGCGTTTGAGGGTCGCTGGAAGGGGGCGCGCCATTGGCGAGAGGGACGGGGAAGTAGAAGGGGTGTAGAAGGGTGCAGGCACTGCAAGGTGCTTACTGGTGAAAGCGTAGCAGAGTTGATTGCCGCGTGTCGTCCATTCTGATGGCCACCTTTCTCCATCGGGCTACCGCTACTAATCACCTTCCAGTTGCTACCTCGGACTTGGTCCACATTCAAATCTGAAACGACCGATCTACATAGGACCGGCACTTTTTTCTTACGAGATAGCAACATGATACTCCCGAAGATCCAACAATTATTCGCCTCTGCTCACCACCGCAATCCTAGAAGCCTCTTTGGCAATAAATATATCGCGGTCTTGCAGCCCGGTGCTCCCGGTTGCATTGATCCACGCCTAAACTCATAAACGTACATAATCGACTAACCTGGCCTTCAAGGCAGTTCGAGAAGGAACGCCACCCTTACATACCCTCGTTCGCGCCTAGCTTTCGAGGCCATAAGACATTGCAGAAGGCCATGAATCGTCTGATTTTCGCGCCAGAATGATTCGCCTCTTCTACGACACTTTCTGTCTCTTCGACTTCTTCGTCTTCTCTCTCATCTTCCTACGGGGCACTACTCAAGCGCATCAGATCTACACCAGCGTAGCGGACTTGCCAGGTCTGTCGTACGATTTCGTCGTCGTCGGCGGTGCGATATCTTTTAAACATTGCGTTTTGATTGCTGATCCGGAGTGCAGGAGGTACCGCCGGGCTTGTCATCGCCAACCGTCTGACTGAGCAGCCGGGCGTGTCGGTGCTGGTTCTGGAAGCTGGGGTCTCGTGCGTATCGCATCGTCTCCCTAACCCTGTGTCCATCTGTTAACAGTAGGATCTAGTCATCGGGGTGTGCTAGCAGCCCAGGTGCCATATCTTGTCGGTGATCTGCTCGGAACGGGTCCTTACAGTTGGAGTATGCATTTCCCCATTGAAATCGGTCCTTGATTGGATCTGACGACCTCAAAGACTATACAACAACTCCTCAAAGGGGATTGCAGAACAGGACTCTTGAATACTTCAGGGCCCACTTGGTCGGAGGTTGCAGCTCGCACAATGGAATGTTTTGGACGCGTGGTTCGCGGGACGACTGGGATCGGTATGCCAGCGTTACGGGTGACGGAGGATGGTCGTGGAACGCGATGTTTCCTTATTTTCTCAAGGTGCGTGACGAGGAAGCGATGAACGATGCATTGACCGGACGGACAGAGCGAACGCTGGACTGCCCCGGCCGACAACCATTCAACGATCGGCGAGTTTAATCCCTACGTGCATGATATCAGGACCCATGCAACTGGTCTGGAACAAGGAACCGGCGTGAAAATCAGTCTGAACGGTTACCAATGGCCCGTCTACTCCGACATGATAGTCAAAGTTGCCCGATCTCTCAACGATTTCCCATTCAATCTGGACATGAACTCGGGAGTCCCGCTTGGATTTGGTTACCTGCAGTCAAGTGTTGGTGGCGGGGAACGAAGCAGCTCGGCCACGGGGTACCTGGACTCACTAAGGAGGAAGAATCTACATGTGCTCATCGGCGCACGTGCCACCGTCCTCTCGCAGCCTTATCGAACGAACGGAAAACCTGGCTTTCGGGGCGTGGACTTCACGCTCGCCAACGAAAGATATACCGCCTCTGCAAAGAAGGAAATCATTCTTTCGGCGGGGTCCATCGGAACGCCTTCGATTCTGCTTTACTCTGGCATTGGTCCCGCTTCTGAGCTATCGTCTCTTGGGATCTCGGTACTTGTCAACAACCCTAGTGTGGGGAAGAATATCACAGATCAGCCCTACATGCCTGTTTCTTTCCATGCCAATTTCAACTTCACGCTTGACGATCTGGCGTCGAACCAGACCGCATGGCAACTTGGATTGAAGGAGTGGAATCAGACCAGAAGGGGCCCGTTCGTTGCTTTTGGGCCGACGCACATCGCGTGGCTGAGATTCGACCCAGGCTCCCCTGCGCTCAAGACCAAGGATACCACTGCCGGCCCAGATTCCCCGCATATCGAGCTCTTCTTTTCCGTGCGTCTTCTGGCTTATTTTGATCGTCGCTGACACTGTCAGCCGGGGCAAGCTGACTTCGGGGCCAAGCCGGGGCACTTTATCACGGCTGGAGTGGTGGCGGTGTCTCCTGCGAGTCGTGAGTAAGATGGTTCACGAGTTTTTGACTGACGTTGAGCTTTTGCAGGCGGACAGATTAGCCTCTCCTCGTCGAATCCGCTGTCAGACCCCGTGGTTGACCTGGGACTGCTCTCTGATCCACACGACGTGCAGATATTGGGTGCTGCCGTCAATAAGGCATACGAGTTCTTTGCGGCACCTGCCTGGGCCGACATAATAGGCGAACCGACAGAGGACCTCCTCGTGCTGACCACGTCCGAGTTAGAAACGCACATCCGCAAAAAGACCACCCCGTCCTTCCATCTCGTCGGCGGCGCTGCGATGGGTTCAGTTGTCGCATCTAATCTGCTTCTGAAAGATGTGTTCGGGGTCAGAGTAGTCGATGCGAGTGTGATGGCAAGGGTCGTGTCTTGGTCATACATATCCTTGCTGAGAGCGTTTGCAGCCGTTTATCCCGAGTGCACATACCCAAGCAGCAGTCTTTGCCATTGCCGAAAGGGCAGCCGACCTGATAAAAGGGGCGTGTTTCCCCTGATGGCATTGTGTAGAAAGTACGAGCTAGCATTTGAACATGTATCCCTTGCATCTTGCCGCGCCGCAATAGCACACATTCTTGATGGTGTGCAGGCCCTTCCCTGGCTCTGTCTCTTGGTCCTCTGAATTCTCTGCGCCGGCATACGAGAAACACAGCTCCTCCCCGGGCAGTACTTCTCGCGTCGTAAACAATGTGAGCAAAGGCCGGGGGTAAGGTTGGTCAATATACACTGCCAGCACTTTGCAGTTGGGGTCGCAGGAATTGTTCAGAAAGCGAGTAAACTGTGTGGACGATCTGAACAAAGAGAGGGAGGGAAAAATGGGACACACACATTCCCCACATGATAGGCATCGACGCCAAGATCCTTGACATCTTCGTCATCATCCTCAGGAATGCCCCGCTCCTTCTTGAGATATTGCACAACGTTGTAAAAGTCGATGTCCAGCAGATAGGTGCGACCGGACATATCATAGGCGCTGCAGGCAAATTGGATTCAGATAAGATAGAATTGTGATCAGACACTGACTGTCCCCGTCGCTCGCATTCAGATTCTTTGAGCAGTTCCCCAGAATAGACACCCACGAACGACCCCCTCGGAATTTTCTTGGGAGAAAAAACACCCCATCCCTTGTTGGTTGTCTTTTGTATATTGATGGGATACTTCCGACCGTGTTGCACAACCTGCACAGTTCAGCAGGGAGACGACGCACAGGTGTGGACGAACAAACCCTGTTTCTGCATTCGTCAGCAGAGCAACTGCAGTTTGAGTTGCACTCGAATATGGGGATGTTGTCGACTCTGTGCAGTTTCCCTTTGGAGTCGTAGGCAAATCCACCATTAAACACGCCCCAGTCCTTGGCTGCCTCCTGCTGCCGAGCCAGACACGCGCATTTGCTCCCTGTTCCAGATTGACAGCCGCCGACGCAGTCACAGCCAGGCACCTCTTCGGCGCGCGGCGCATCGATGCCGTCCCCAAGCCACATCAGGTTCGTGTAGTAGAATTCCCACGGCGGAGCGGGTTCTGAGTCAACGTCGTTGATGACCATAATGGGCGGCGCATCGGGCTCGTCCAGCGCAGTGTGATCACGGATGACTGCTTCTAGCACCCGACGCATGTGCCCGGGAGCGCCAGTGTGGAAGTCGTCATCGTATGAGTTGAAGTAATCGTACATCGAACTCGACAAGTCTCGGGCATATCGGACATCCGGATCAAACACAGGCTGGTACGTTCTTGGCGGTGGGTAAGGTGAAGGAGACCGAGGAAGAGACGGAAATCCTGCAGGCGAAGATGATTCAGGGGTTGAAGGACATCCTACCTGCGAAGTCGACCGCGCAGGTGAGGATGTCCGAGTAGAAGAATGTACAGGCGACGAAGATCGCGTGTCACGTTCAATCTCGGGCTGCAAAAGTCCAGGTGGATATTGGCACATCGCGTGATCGCGTTTCTCTCACCTCAGATGGGCCAGCGTACTCCAGCTCATAGACCTCCTGGTCATCGTAGCTCCGCCGCACTCTTGAAGACACTTCTCATTCAAATCAGAAGTTATTCTTCCAGCAATGTGGTCCACTCACAGGCACTGGCGGGCCGGCCTAGCTCAGAGGCTAATGAAATGTGAGTGAGCTCTCCGGGAGACAAGACACCCACCCATAGCACGAAGTTTTCTGAGTTGACGCACGTGTCTCCACTCCAGGGAGTCCTTTTCAAGGATTTCGGGGATCCTGACTTGCTCGATCGTGCTCGTGTCCTCATCGGCCTGTTCGTTTCCATTCTCTGTTTCGCCGATAGCCATCTCTTTCTGCTGAAGCGTTTCCTGGTCTTTCTCGAGCATCTCATCATCTATCTTCTTCTGCTTGCCTTTCCAATTTCCGCCCATCCTCAGCCTCTCCATCAAATGCAAGGAGTTTTGTTTCGCCTTCGCAGGAATTTGCGATCCGATTGCAGGTAGTTTCGGTAGAATCGGTATTGAGGAGGCGGAAGTTTGTACATCTGGGACCGATTCACATCCAGGCTGCAGTTCGATTTGGACGGCAAGTCCGGGTTCTTCTGGTGGGTCTTGTTGCGTGTCCATATCAACTAGGATCTCACTGCGCTCTCCCATGTCTTCCTCATCTTCGGCCATCTCTCCATCAGAAAGCGTCAAGTCGATGATTTCTTGCGCTAGGCCTAGTTCATCGCGTTCCAGTAGCGTCCCCGTTTCAGACTCCTCTTTGATCTCCCGTGCTTGTGCGACTTCCGATCTGGGAGTACCCGACTCCTTCCGCAACTCGACCGGGTCTGACGTGAGTGATGTCCTGCGGATGGTCTCATTCACATCTTCGCCAGTTTCAGTCTCGGTCGGAGAGAGGTTATCCTGCTGTTCCAGAGGCTCTTCCACCCTAGGAGAATCAGGTCTGGCTTCAGGTCCAGTGCTATTCCCAGTTCTAACTTCGGCGTGTTCTTTATGCTCCTCTCTCTCGCTCGAATTCGGAGGGACGTCGCCAGGTTGTGCCGAGGCACGTTCGCCCACCGGTGTATTATTCTGGAAGGATTCGCTTTGATCTTCACCAAAGGAAATGGGAAGCGGCTCATCCTCCGTAAGGAGTGGTTTCGCCACCCCAAATTGCTGCTCGTCCTCGCCATCACTGACCTCGATAATTTCTGTCGACTCCTCTTTGCCAGTCTTCAAGCCAGCAACACTTGAGTTTCCCAAGCGCGAGAGTTTCACCATATTCTCGTCGTCTGAATCGGTAACTTCGATGACCATCTGTTCTTCGGAGTCGGCGCGAAGATCCTTCTTGGAACCAGGGTCGTCTCCATCGGGACCGGTGAGATCGATCACCTCCATTGTCAGGGCTATGCATGGCCGTGAGACCTGGATCATAACTTCGAAAGGAAACACGCACCTCGCCTTTCTACCTTATTTTTCTGCACAGTGTTCGTCGATGGAGGCGCAGGCGCCGACCGAGGAGCGCCGACCGAGAAACGTGACTGGAACACGTCCCTGTCAAACATCCCGCGGCGGCTTGAACCAGCCGGCGCTGTCAACGAAGGCATAGGGAATGATTCTTCGGGCTCGGGACTAGGGGGATTACTCATTGGTCGTCGGCGCCCTTTTTTCGGAAGTGGAATGGGTTTCGGCGTTGCAGTGAACCTGGACTTGGGGATGAGAGCTCCAGAGTCATTGCGAAATGTCAGTTTCGATTGGGAGAGCGAGTTTTGGGTGGGAATTTTCGAACTGGACGCAGCAAGAGGGATCGGTGGGTCCGACATGCAGGTCTGCGGCTGTGTCTTCGCCGAGGCCCGCGGAGGTGATAACGGTTCAAGAGGAGTGTCATGGGAGAGTGGACGACGCGGACTCGTATTCGTGTTTGTGGTCGGAACAGAGGCAGAGTATGAATGAGAGTATGGACGCGCAGGGCCGCTGCCTGAAGCCTCTGCGTTCGTTTGTACTGATATCCCGAATTAGCGTCTTTGAGTACGAAGAGAGAAGTAGGACCAGCATGATATTCAATACAGACCCTTGTGTTTCTTCTTCGCCGGCACGCTCCCGCTGCCGTTCAGACCGTTCTCAAACTGTAGCCTTGGGCCATCGCTTCGCAGTGTGTTTTTCTTCCGTTTGGCCGGAACTTTGACATGCTGCGACAACTTGGGATTAAGTTCGAGGTCGTCATCCTCTGAACTTGGCATCGGGGTGGGTTCTACGGTTTTCATTAGAGAGTTAGTTCGCGACGTATGAATGCCTAGAATCAATGCACCAACTAAGGAGCTGATCGGGGGAACTGAGGGACGCATATGGATCATATGTGGCGCGCGCAGGTTCAGTAAGTAGATTGGGGCTTGGGTGACCAATGCCCACTGAGGCTGCCAGCCCGAGAGCGCGTCTTGAAATCCAGCCGTGATGTTTGTCTCCCTTTGCCGCGATGCATCAATCGATCATGATTCGTCAGCGTTGCACATAAGTAACAGTAGTGCACAACTTTTGTGAGAAACAACTCAAGCCATGATCGTCTTAATTCAGAACGTCATTTGCTCAAGATAAAGCAGGAGCATGGCATGTACTGAAAGTGAAAGACTTCAATCTTATTCGAAAACGCAGGTATCTGCAGGGGAATGATCAGGGAGCTTATCCGCGAGACTTTGGACGATACTCGGAAATAGAATAAAAATTGAACGGGGACTCTGAGGCCACGACACATGGTTCGTCAACGTCGAGATCACTGCCTTGATCACTTGCTACAAAATATATGGTCAAAGCGAATCAGTCGATGAAGAGCACTGCCACGCATCATTCCATGATCCTCGCTGATTCAACTTAAAATAAAGCCTCATGTGCGCTTGAACGAACTCGGATTTCATGGCCGGGGATGGATCCACGCTTCTCTTGTTCAAGGTTGCTGGCATCGCTTACCGGGAACTCGGCAATGATTGCAACCTCCCGACATCTTCTTTGATGAATGCAGCATGCCTGTGCCCGGGCATGCTGTACGTTACTGTAATATGCATGGTGGAAAGAAACTGACAACGTTGTGCTGGTCCTTCCGCAGTATCGTCTGGATTTACTTTCCGAACCTGGTTGCTTCGGCTGGCCGGCGAAAGCCCGACCTCCTCGACTCCGACCAGTGTGTAGTGTGACAAATGGCTCGTTTGCATCAGCATGCTTGCGATCTTCCGCCCGTCCTGAAGGGATCATAACAAAGAAGCACTGATATGCTCAACAGCTGCCATTGGGTTTGGCCTGATTCGGTTCATCTCAATCAACACCATCTCATCTTCCAGCCGTTCTCGGATGCCATCCCGCACTGAAATATCCAACCGTGAGGTGCAAGTTTGCGACTGATGTTCCGTTAAGCATCACTGATTAATCACGGGTACCAAGGCAGCACGTAGACGTTCACTCGGGCGGGCTTCTACTTCGCACGACGCAACTTCTTCCCACTTTTGACCAGCGCTCATACACACACACAACTCGACTGCCGTTGGTCTCTTCACCACACCCATGCTTTCGTTCCGCAGGACGTTTGCGGCGAACCCCGAGTCTTTCCTCCCGGGTCATCCGTACACTTTGGACAACACTCGCACCGTGCAGATCTCCTTCGTCGAGTTCAGAGCCGTGGGGCCGCCTCCCGGACATGTGGGATCGGTCGGCGATGTTTACGTCGATTTGACACCCGGCCGAAACACCCTTCATTGGCGCGATCGAGACGGCTACAATCCGGGACAGTGGCGAAAATGGACCGCACTACGACTGGACCGTGTGCCACTGTACAGATATCTCGTTGCGCACCCATGGGCCAATGATGCGCAGATATCCGACTTGTACCTCTGGGCGGACTCGACGGGGATCACGTGGACCTCGCGAGCGGATATATGCGCTAGTCGCGTCATTATGGTCCAAAAGAACATTGCGGTGATTGAGCCAGGCGAGCGGAATCCCGACGTCGATGTATTGGTTTCGGAAATCCTCGTCAAGATGATAGAGACAGAAGAACGCAAGACCCTGCCCCCAATGCAACTCCACCGAGATGGATATGCCAGTCCCCCTCCGTCCAGGTCGCATCGCCCCCCAGCAGATTATCCATTGCCACGTCCTATGCAGGGTCGTTCACACGCTAGCTCCGGAAGCGTCCCTCAGTTGCAATTCAGTCCACCCGAAAACTATCGAGCCCGGCGGCATCAGCCCAGTCCTGACCGACCGTCGAACAGTCCGCCGTCGAACAGCCCGCTCATCCTGTCTACACCTCCAGCCCCTTTGCGCCGCTCCGAAAGCTCCGAACCTCACAGGCGTAAAACTCCGTCAGGTTACCAGTCGTTCGAGGGCACCAGTCCGGTCGCAGGACCATCGACCTTGCAGCAGTATGAGCCACCAAATCGTGAGTAGTGCGCTTCGTCAATGCGCCTTGTCATGCGCTGAATTCGCTCTCGCAGCCCATCCCGGTGGAACAGAGCAGGAGCTACGCGACAATTTTGGTACTTGCCCACTCTCACGTTTTCCTCATTCTCATGACATGTTCCCTCAAGCTTGGAGCGAGATGCAGCGTGCCCAATACGCAGAAGCGCACTTCAAACGAGGTAATGCATGTTGTCTTCCGACGTTGGCCGCTTGTGCTGACGAGATTCGACAGAGTTGCGCGTGAAGAACCGTGAATTGGCTAAATGTAGATGTCATTTCCTTCTTTGATCGCTCGCTGATCAAACCGGTTCCAGTCAAGAAAAAAGAGAAGGATGTCATCAGCAGTACGCCAGTCTGCCGTTTTCCTGGTCACACTGACTGACCAGTCGGACTGCTCAGTGTCCTTCATGTATCAGAAGAAAGAGCAAGAGCTGATTGCAGGTCTGGCTGTGCTTCTTCTCAACGTGCATCTACATCTCATCGAAGCTTCTCCATCAGCCTTGACGGCGGTCGAGCAACGATCTCAGGCAGAAATGGAGGAACAACGGGAAGGTTCGTGATCCGAGCCCCACTATACCGTTTTCCGAGCAGTCAATAGCCGTTCGTGTCGCACAACGACAAGTCGACGAAGCAGAATCCCAGGCTCGAGACGCAGGTCAGTCGCAGTCATTCCCTGATGACAAGATCTCATGTCCTGTGATCCAGTGCGAGAGCTACATCGTGTGGAAGATGGTTGGTCTCTTGTTGTGCGGTGCAGAACCCAGGTGACAATTTGAAAGCTTTATCCGATGCCCGTAAAGAAATCCAGCGCCTCCAAACCTGTCAGTCGTCGGGTTGAGGATCTGTGACCAGCTTCACCTACTGAACCGATGGCCTCTAGATGCAGATAGGATCGAAAGCAACAACCAGGAGTTGAGAGGCGGTAAACAGGTTTCCTCTCTCTCGTCACCTTATCTGAGAGACGGGCCCGCTCCAGATTTGGATCGAATATCTGTCTCACGGGGTGACCGCTCTAGTTGCGTCGATCTCTCGTTCTGTTGCCCGTCTGAATCTGACCATAGATACAGAACAGCCTCCTCCTGAGCCGGAGTAGGAACCGATCGTGCTATCATGCATTCAAAGTTCGCGGCCGGGGGTATCATCCTGCAAACCTTGCCTATCAGTTGCACATCTTCTCCGGCTCCGCGGAGATTGCATTCGCCTAACACGGACGGTCGATTACGGGCAGCGTGTCAATGGATTCTGTAATGCCACATTTAAGTGCACAAGGCTCGATTGTGTCGGGGAGAGTCTTCGATCAAGCGAGAGCATGGACACGGGAACAGCGGCCCTGGTCATCTCTACATGTATGTCAGTACGCGTTAAAATAAGCGGATAGATGCATTGAGAGCCTCCAAGCGGTGGGCATCATCGTCACCGATGACAGACTCGTATGCAACTCTCAAAGCTCTAGAACAGCGTAGACCGCAGATGGCCCAGAGCTCCTGCACATCGGGATACATGCGAGTATTGTGTGGTTCGATGGCATGCACTTGTATTTCTTTTGAATTCCTGTTTAAAATTCATGTCGGAGACTGCTATAGATTCCGTCGAGCATGGGAATGATGTTCCTGCAGGGACTCAAGGGCTCCGTGGCAAGACCCTGATTCGCGCTGTATGTCCGGTTCCACAGCTTCGACACCACGCGCCATTTCTAGCACAGCTACATGCCACTCCTCGGACCCAATTCACCTTTGGTTTGATCGGAAGTAGTGCGTCAGGACCTGCTTTGTCGTTGGACACATGTGATATGCAGCAAGGGCTGGAATGGCGGCCGATCCTCAGACTTGCAAAAACAGTTCTCGTTATTTTAAGCTCGTGACCGCGTCCACATCGACAATCAGCCATCAACATCATCAGATCACGTACGTAATCGTCTGACAGCCCCTCGGGCCACTGTGACTGACCATCCTCGATGTCTGCGTTTTCCTTGGACGAAGAGGTCCGACTATACACGAACAACGCCGACCGGGAGAAATACAACTCGTTGGCTACCCTGTTTGGAATCATCATCGCATTGGACTTTCTGGAGCGAGCGTATGTTCGCGATTCCGTCACCGCAACAGAGTGTGTCCCTTCTCGAGCTGCTTTGTTCGATCTAAGGCGTGTCGAAGAGATACTCTCCAGCATGCACTCGACTCCTTTCGCAATATCAGATCATCTCAAAACTCGTCGAAGACGATGTACCATCTATCGAGCAATTCATGAGCCGCTATCGAGTGTGTGCCATCTTCAAGCCAATTATCTTCGTTCCCTGACGAATTGCGATTTCCAGATGGACAATCCAGCAGCACTTCATCGAATAAAGGTCGGTGTTCCCGCGACGGTTGAACATTCCAGCGAAGCAGGCCCGGAAACAGGCAAGTGGGTTGCAGAGACGACGCAGGCACGTTTCGTCCACTGCTGATCATGACACTCGTAACATCTCATTGCCAGAGCTTCATCACTTTCATGGATGCTCTCAAGCTTCGTATGCGTGCAAAGGATCAACTACATCCAATCCTCCAAGATCTCGTCACAGGATACGCGCGATTCAAGGGCAGTAAGGATTGGGAGGGGCGGAGCAGGATGGTGGGATGGTGAGCACACAGTTAGTGAGATCCGTCCCCTGCTGATCGGAATCTAGGTTGATTACCTTGAACGGCATGAAGGCCTCCGAGGAACTATCAGAAGAACAATCTCGCCAGGTAACCTTCTGCATCGCAAGATGTCTCCACACTGGCTGACCCTTCCCTTTCTGTGGCCATCAGCTGCTCTTCGACGTAGATCATGCCTATGCAGAATTCTTTCGCAGTCTCAGCTCCAAGGAAGGCTCATAGGGTATCGCATCTGTACTTCATCACTGCAAATCGTAGAATATCGATAAGTAGCCAGAATTTCGGATATAGTCTGGACATAAATACGCCATTACATAATAAGACACGGCTGCTGAGAAGTGACGCCTAGTTCTTCCATTTGTTCTTGGGCAGCTTCCTGCTCGTTCTGACGCAGTTTGAAACGAGCCTCTTCCGGAAACCAATCGCGCATAAAGTTGAGCAAAGCCCAATCAACATTGGCTGTTGCATACTGTTAGTCCTCGGGTGGAGAGATGAAGCACGACACACACATCGGTCGGCGAGCAAAACGCATGGGGAACGACACACGGGACACCTCTCGTCGCCACGCTTCTGCATCTTGACTAAGCAGCGCACGCAGAACAGGTGACCACAGGAGAGCCGAATAGGTTTGAAAGCCAGACTGGTGCAGATCAGACAGGAGTAATCATCCAAAGAAGGGACAATCGGCAACAGCGTCGTGCCCAACTCTTGAACGAGAATACGGGGAAGAGAAGCATCATGGGAGGGTAATATTGCGAGCGAATGGGTGTTATTATTGTCGGTGATAGGCAACGCTGTGCGTTTCGTATGTTTCTTGAGGATTTTGCGGGTCGCTTCCGAATTAGCAAGTTCAAACTAAAGGTTAATCAGTCTCAGCACCAGGATTGCGGATAAACGGGCAAGCTAACCTTCTTGACGTTCAAGATGAAAACGTTTAGTTCGAAGAAAGTTTTGAGTGCACTTTGACTCGCAGGAAGCTTAAGACGCCGTCGATCATCCAGTCCCAGTACAGTCACGCGCTCTGCAAAGTCCTTCAATCGGGTCTCGACATCTTGAACTGTGCGTTCCCCTCGCGATCTTTCGCTCAGGCATTCGAAGATTTCGGCCTGGAGATAAAGCTGGAATATCTCTCGCCAAGTCGAAAGATCACTCTGCGAGAAATCAGAGAGCGCATACTCAGTAGAGCGCGCACTCACCTTTCTGCTCGAAGCGTCTACTCGGACTCCACCAGCATCCGATGTGAAAGGCGAATGCACTCTGAATGAGTGGTTTTCGGACGAAACTGGACGTGCCGAAGACGACACAGCGACGGTCAGGTCAGCAAGCGTTCGCACAAATTCAGCATGTATGGCGAGCAGCCTCTCGGATAAAGCGGAAAGAGCAGTGGCAAGCAGTTGGAAAAAGGCGGAATCGGAGGGTAATGGTATAACGATTTCCATGTTGCCATCTCGTTGTTCTACCGACGTCCCCAAGGGCTTGCTTTCTCGCTGCATGGCCCATAGTAGCGCGGCAAGCGACGGGTCGTCTGTTCCCAATTCTTCTTCTTCTGTGCCTGCTTCGGATCGAAATGGTGAGGTCGTTGAGTGGGAAGCGCCGACCCACAATCGCAAGCGAGGCTGAATTTGACCCGACTCATTATTGTATTCGTAAACGATACGTGTGCCGCGTCCTTTCCCCTTCCCCTCCGACGGAATCGAGTCGGAACCGGTTCGCAAAAGACTGTTTAACACTGCCGGCCCAAGTCCGAGCGTTGCGAGCTCTGTGGCGACTTGATTAATGAGTTTTTTCAGCTGATGGGGTTCAGAGATATCCATGGACTATCATTACATAGGTTGATACCTGACGATATTGAATAGCATTGTCGCTTAATTCGTGTGGGAGCTCGCTCAGCAGTTGAGCATAGGTCTTGGAGAAATGCATTGTCAGTGTGTGGAATCAAGTTGCGGCCGTTATGACTGGTGTCGGGCCCGAGCACCGATCTAAGGAGACTGCCAGCATCACGGGAAGGCTGTTTACGATCGTGACGGTCCAAAGGCGTTGTAATCGGAAAAGGCTTTCTGCGGCAGCGTCTACGCAGAGGGCCCAACGGTGGATTAGGAAGCAAGGCAGATTACCAGTTGACAAGCGCACGTTCGTGAAATCGTCGCCATCCATCGCAGTCAAGTGGCTGTGACTTCGGCCTGGTCGGCCGTAGTATCCTTGACTGTTTAAGCAAGTTGCACTCCTACTACATACTACTTAGTACTCTCTCATCCACAGCGCTTTCCTCAATTTTTTGCATCATCCTCGTTGCAGAAGCAAGCCTTACTCATAATCTCCTTGCTTTTGCTTTCTCAACGCTCCATCGTAATAATGGACATCGTCATCCGTACATCGCAGAATCCATTGTTCGGGCGCTTGTGATGTCCAAAACACTTCGCACTACACCCTTCTTGTCGTTCGAAGGCGGCGGCGCTGAATGGATACGAACGCGTCCACGTAATTTATTGTCTGCGCGGGGATCACACATAGGCGCTCTACAGAGTACATGAACTCGATGAACAGGGAAGGCTGGGGCAGTCAACCATGCGCACATCTACAAAACGGTCTCCCAAGTCCCTTGCCCCATCTGCTCCGTCTGCCCAGCCAATCGACGATGTCGGCGCTGAGTGTTCTTCGGGCGAATCTGTGTCCGTGCATGAACCCAACACTGGGATGATCGGCGTTGGACTTTCTGACCCAGGGATCGCGAAAGCCCGCCGGCAGATGCTCGATTTGGTTAACCGGATGAAGAACACTGGGTAATCTGCCTTCATTATTCTCGTTTTCACAAATTTATGCCTGCTGTAGTGTCCAAAACGATATCGACCTGCCACAGATCGCCGTCATTGGGAACCAGAGCGCGGGCAAATCATCTCTCATCGAGTCCATTTCTGGTATCACTCTCCCGCGTGCTGCAGGGACTTGCACTCGGTGTGCACTTTGCTTTCGTATTGTGCCGGTTCTGACTGTCTGATAGTTGTCCCACTGAAATCCGTCTATCGCATGCAGACGATAGCATTTGGGGCTGCATTGTTGAATTGCGCGTAATCACCGACAAGAATGGACAGCCGCTCGGTCAAGCCCGCAACGAGCGGTTTGGCGAACCCATCACCGACAGGGCCGACGTCGAAGATCGAATCAGACGCGCTCAACGTGCCATCCTGAATCCAAGCAAGCCCGCTCGTTCATTCCTGTCCGACGACGAGGATGAAAATGAGCCCTCTGAGCTGTCGTTCTCGACCAATTATATCTCGCTACAAATCACCGGGCCAGACATTAGTGATCTGGCGTTTGTCGATTTGCCTGGTATGCCGGGGATTCTTTGTATCCTAAGCTCTGTATTGACCCCCGTTCGTTGCTGTCTAGGCTTGATTGCTAGCGTCAGTCGAGGTGGTGACAATCGCGACATCAAGATGGTGGAGAACTTGGTCGCATCGTACATCTCCAAGCCCAGCTGTGTTATTCTTCTGACTGTGGCCTGCGAAAGTGTGTGTTGGTGCTGTATCCGACTTCCTGAACGACTCAATTTGTGTAGCCGATTTTGAAAACCAGGGTGCCCATAACCTGACGAAGCAATACGATCCACTGGGCAAACGAACCATCGGTGAGAACTGTGGGCTTCTAATAATTTCAATGTACTTATTGCCATAGGCGTGCTCACAAAACCCGATCGTATCCCGTCAGGCGAGGAAAGCAACTGGATCCCTTTCATTCGTAACGAACAGGAGACGCTTGAGAACAACTGGTATTGTGTCAAGCAGCCAAGTTCTCAGGACATCAAGCTCGGTATCACCTGGCAGAATGCCCGTTCCGCGGAAAACGATTTTTTCTCTTTCACCTCGCCGTGGTCCGAACTTGACCAGATGTACCAGAAGTACCTGCGCACCACCAATCTAGTAGATCGCCTCAGCTCGATTCTATCCGATTTGATCTCTAAACGGTGAGCCTTCGCTCGTTCCCTCGTGCGCTCCTTGCTACAATTGTCCAGTCTGCCCGAGATCCAGGTGGAGTTGGAGAAGACTATCCAGAAAACGCTTGCTACACTGCAACAACTTCCGAAACCGCCCTCTCCTGATCCGATCGGTGAGGTCGCGGGAATGATGCACTCGCTCGTGGGCGAAATCAATCGTGTCATTGACGGGGTTCCCACTGCCGACGGGCTGTTGCAAGTCATTCGTCCCGCACAAGAAAGCTTCCGCTCTCAAATTCGCGCAACTGCACCTGACTTCCGGCCTTTCGAGAGCGGTTCTCCTGTCATAGAAGACTTTCACGAGCCTCAGTTTTTGACAAATGAGGATGGTCAGTCATCTGGCATGACAACCTTGGTTGCCGGCAGAGAAAAACCCATCTTCATTGACGAAGTCATGCAACGTGCCACGGCGTGAGTCCCCATTGTTCAACTATCTGGCCCGTGATTTCTCATCAGAGTTCTATCAGCGCACGGACTCGTGAACTGCCTGGTCACCATCCGTTTGTTGTCCAGACCTCGTTCATCTCTGAAGTGACCCAAAAATGGGCCTTACCAGCTCAAGTTCTCTGCAGAATGGTTCACTCCGCCCTTTCGCAGCATATCAGGGATGTCATCTCAAAGCAGTTGGGCTCATTCGGACAAGGCGCACTGGAGCAACGAGTCACGCAAGTTGCCAGCTGCAGGATTTTGACCCCAATGCTGACTTTCCACAGATTGCTCATGCAGGAACACCTTCGCCGATGCTCTGAAAATGCCCAGAATCTTATCGCGAAGCTCATTTCCCTGGAGCAGAGCGGCTCCTTGACGCTGAATGAGCATTATCTTGCCGATTACAGGTCCAAATTCCTTTCATTCTACAAGCAAACACGCCAGAACAGCAAGAATCCCGGTCTCGCTCGCAATATTCAGAGTTACAAGTCGGTTTCATGGGGTAAAGAGACCGATATCTCCACGGCTTTGAGCAACTTGGCTGCGGTTGGACTGCAAGGTGTAAAGGCGGAGGATCTCGTGAAGCTGCTTCCTCCTGATCGGATGGATGCAGCACTTGAAATTATGTCGGACGTGCGAGCCTATTTCCAGGGTCCGTCTCCAAGTCTACCCTCATAACCGACTAATCGGTGCGCAGTTGCTTACAAACGCATCACGGATAACGTTCCACTCGCGATCGACTATGAGCTCATCCGTGCTGTCGGTCGCGACCTGTTGCCCACCCTCTACAGCGGGCTCGGCATCAACGGCCCGGAGGGTCTTCGGATCTGCCGTGAGCTTGCTCAAGAGAGTCCGAGCGTAGCTGGAAAGAGAGAAGAGCTGAACAAGAGGCTGGAAAGACTGGAAGGTGCCAGTCGGGAATTGATTAGGGTTGGGATTTGATAGTGAGCTGATATGATAAAGACCAACATGTGAAATATTTTTGTTACAGGAGACTATCTTGATCTTTCTTGAGCTGATCTTCTAAACTCAGAGGCCGGTCCAGGACGAGGGCCATGGTTCCCCGCGTCTTTGCTGTCTGTGCTGCGTTAGCGCTAGCCTCGTTCACTTCCGCTTCCGAGACGCAATATCCTTTCCACGCCATAGACAATCAGCGCAGCACGTGGGACTTTGATGTTGAACCCAATCCGAATGCAACTGGCCAGCTTGTCTTCGATACTGTGAGCTCGTTTCTTCAACATTGGCCAAATACGCGGTACCGAAACGGACATAATATTGTTCCTGGTGAGTGCTTATTTCGCTTCTAACGGTAATGCGTCGAGTCTATGTATTCTCTAGGCATTGTACCTATCGGAACGCTTCTGTATCATGGCCGCGCAGACTCCAATCTGCCGACAGTGCCCGAATGGACCGCGACAGATCCGGAGCACTCTTACTTATTCTGTTGGGGCTCCTCTGAGGCTGGCTGCTGGCATCTTACATTGGTCGCCACAAGACCTCTGAGGGTTTTATACTTTGACGGGTCCAGCGCTGCCAAGATGCCGAACGGCCCCATGGATTCTCAGGATGTCATTTCGTGGGGCAAAGTGATACCAGAGCGATACAACGAGGAACGGGTTCGCATCGTCGAGCTTTGCAACTGGGGAAAGGATCTTGGGATTGATGGATTTCTGCGCATGGAAATGGATTTGTGTGTAGGGTTCATATCTGCCAGCGCGATTTCTGATGAATCCATGCAGCGAGATCATGTTATGCGACTTCACGGCTGGCGTGGATGTGCTGTCCATGAGCAATCTCGCCAGCCCAAGACGCGCTCCTCCGCGGGAACGCGACGACGATCGCTTCGGTGTCCAAGATAGTGTGGACGTCATCCAATCTGGCTCCTGGCACAACCGGTATCCTGGTGACAGACGAGTTCAACTGGATCTATCCAGGCTCGTATCTTTCTATGACACAGGTCTGGTTCCTAGCTTGGTGGCGGTCCGGTTCAACAGGACTAGATGGGACCATCGGCTGCTCGGCATCAGCGACAGCGATACTGCTGCTGTCCACCAGCGCCTCATAGAGGCCTACGATTCTTCAATGATCACTCAAGGAAGCGGCATCGACTGGGATACTCTCTTCAAAGTCGTCGTGGACCGATATGCGGAACGTTTAGAACTCGTGCAATACGTGCTCTCCAACTCGACTAGGGGTGCCCTTGCGACTGCAAAGCGTGCTACGGGACTCTTCAATGTTATGCTGGCCCCGTATCTAATACATTCGGCGAAACCGGCAGCAGAGTGGATGCATCCAAAGCATGGGCGTCTCCCATCTTTGAATTCTGTGCCACCTCGCACACATCCTACATGCGAAACAGCGCCCGCGTGTACGGCTCACTGACGGCGGCCGAGCGACTGTTGCTCGACTCGGCGGAGGAAGTAAACCACGAGATCTGCCGGGTGGTCGTCGGCCTTTGGGCAGACGGCGTCGTTGCCGGTTTGGATGACATGTATCCTGCAGACTCGGGCTTCAGCCCGTTGACGAGGCAGTGCTTGTCGAACGCTGGCGTACAAAGAAGTCGTGCACTGATCACTTGGCTGGACTGGAGTGTGTGGGTCAAATGTAAGCCAGCATGCAGCTTTGAGGAATTCTGCTATCTTCTCGACTGGCCCTACTTTAATCGCCGAGCTGAGCCACGACCGCAATCGCCTCCTCCTAGGCCACCTTGGCCCCCCGTTATGACGACGACATCCTTCATCCACAACCCAGATGTCTGCGTCGCTTGGAGCCATATGCCTTCTAGATTTCCGACGCACCGTTGCCACGCGATCCTGTCGCAATTTCCTGTTTACAACCTGACTGGTGGATGCTAGAATTCCGCATTTATAACGTGAGAACATAAATGTACAGAATGTCTTTTAGGCCCAGCCGACGATGCATATGTAAGAGAACAGGAAAAATAGATAGCCAGTTCCTGCCAAAGACCGTGCCACAAACCTCTCAGGATGTTATCTCCGATGAGATGATAAAATTAAGGAATCTACATACACGGAGTGGTCCGACGCGACGGTTGCCACAGATCAGGCGAACCGAACGAACTCGAGTCTGGAAGCCGACAATAATCTTTACCTATCGTGCGGACTGCCCCTTCCATGTCACCCGATGGGAACACTGTGAAGCCGGCCATCACCCGGCCAGCATCCGCAGCCCGACGTTCGGAAACCA